TGCGTGGCCTGAGGAGGACGTGAGGCAGAGGCCCAGGGCCTCATCGCATCACGTGTCACCTCCCGCCAGGGAGCCCCCGTCCGGCTGCGACAGAGCCCGGGGCCAGCCCAGGTCCTCGGCCGGGAGTCTCGAGCGTCCCGAGCAAAGCAACGGCCCGTCACCCAGGAGGAGGGAGAGCGCGTCAGACGGAATCAGCGGCGTCTACACACTCCGGGGCACGGCTCGCTCACGCCCGCGCCCGAGCGTCACACGCGCCGGGGGCACTTGGCCGCCGGCGAGGGCACGAGCAGATACCTTTCTTCAGGCCCAGAATCCACATGGTGTCCAGGGCGTCGATCAGCGTAAGTCCCAGGCCAAACCACTCGCTGAAGGACCTGGACACGGGTTTCAGCTCGTCGTGGCCCCAGGCGAACTTGCGGTATCCGGTCCACGCGTGGCGGAAGGCGTCTATCACGGCCCTCTGACGCTCGTTCGGGGAGGCTGCGAGGAAGAGAGCGGGTCGTGGGCGCTGGTCCCGCTCGGGGACCGAGCTGAGGGGCGCCCCGTGGGGTGGGGGCGGGGGGCACACTGTCCGGGGCCACGGGGCAGCGGTGCTCAGCCCTGAAGGTCGGGGCACAGGGTCGCAGGTGGCAGCCTCGCAGCAGGACGCGGCGGCCAACGTGGAGGCGGCGAGGTCTCCAGGCCCCGCACGTGACATCTCGGCCTCTCGGCCGCCTGGCCTGGGCCCGTCCACCTGCACCAGACGCCCGGCAGGCACGACCCTCTGGGGCCGCAGGGGACGCGCGGGGAGCAGCGGCTCTGAGGCGGCAGGCCGGTGCCCGCCGCCCCGCCCCCAGCGCCGCGCTGTACAATTTGGCCGTGGGAGGATGGGACGTGGCGGGCCTCGTCTCGCAGGCGCCCGCGTCGTGCCTTAGCGGCTCTGGACGCTTTCAGGGAGGAACCAGCATGCGGCAGAGGGGCCCGTGGCCGCCCGGCGGCCTTTCCGGGGCGCCCGCGAGAGCGACTGAGGTGGTTTCTCCTCCGCACACGTCGGAGGACCCGGCACAAGTCACAGGGCCGCCACGCGGGCAAAAACGTGTACGTCGACGGCCCTGCGACACGTGTCCCCTCGGTGTGGTCCGAGGCCCAGGGGCGGAGGTATACGTAGCCGCGACATCGGTCCTCAGAGCCCCGTGACCGCCCTGCCTCCCCCAACATGCCAGGGCCGCCCGGGAACGTGCGTACCGGCGCCGGGCTCCCCCTTCCTCCTTCCTTCGGCAGTGACAGCGACAGGAAGGCAGGGTCACGGCCCGGGCCCCAGACTCAGCTGACCTGGCGCCAGCCCCCGCTCCGGGAGGCCAACGGCCCTGGCCGTTGCTGGCCTAGCCTCGGCTCTCCTGCCTGCAGAATGGGCCCAGGACAGGCCGATGACCTGTGATAGGCCACGAGAACAGGAGCGTACAAAGCGCCTACGCCCAGAAGGCCCTCAAATACTGGGGCCAAGACCCAGGACCCCCAGCATCCCGCAAGCAGCGGCCGCACCTCTCCTGTCCGCGGGGCCCCCGCCGGACACGGACGCCGGCAGCTCCCACACAGGCGGCCCGTGGCTGCGGCGCCGGGCCCCAGACCACGGGCCGCCAAGGAGCCCAGGGTCCTCACCAAGGCTCTAAGGAGCGCTGGGGCCCGCCGGGGCATCAAAGGGCGACCCGTGCCTGGAGGGACAGCGGGCGCCGTGCCGCCCACCCCGGTGCCCACCTGGGTGTCTACGCGCCCTCTCCGTCACGACGTCGGGTGAGGCCCAAGGGGGTGCAGCTGGGGCCTTACCTGGTTGGTTCTGACTCCCGGGGGCCGGCGAGGGAGGCTTGGTGGGGGGGCCCTGTGCCTTTCTCGAAGGAAGTTCGGTGCCCTGCTCGGGCTCGATCACCGCGCCCCTCCAGCTTCAGGGACAGAAGGAAGAGCAGTCAGCCGGCTCCACGGCGGAGACGCCAGCGCCCTGTGGTCGCAGCCCGGCCGGGCTCGCCGTGGCCGTCAGCCCCACGCGCCACGCGGGACGAGAGGAGATGGCGGGGCCCCGCCCCCGCCCCCACCAGGGTCCCCCGCTCTCCGCCGTCTGCTTTGGAAGGACAACCCACTTCACACACCACGCTGACCCTCCTCCCCTTCGGTTTTCAGGAAACGTCAAACTGGCCTCCGCGCATCTGCGCTTCCTGCCTCGTCTCTGACCCTCCGCGTACCTGACCACCGTTCTCTGCGTGCTTTCTTCCTGACGAGCGTCGCCCACCACCTCGTCCCTCCGCCCGGCGTCATCCTGCCTCTGCTCCTTCGGGTCTTTATCGGGGGCTCTGATCTGCAGGTGGGGTGGTCCCCGCCGGAAATGCCTCTGAGGCTTCTAGATCAAAACAAGGGTCGCTCGTGAAAACAGATCAACAGCAGCCTAGGAGCTGCCCCTCCCGGTTCCGCACGGGACGTTCTCCCTGTCACACTCGAACCCATGGACAGCGTGGACCGGCTGGTGGCGCGCGGCCCGCAGAAGAAACGCCTTTCCTTTTCCGGGACAACAAGCAGATTTGGCCCAGAGATCCTTTCTCGCGCTCTCAGGGCCCTGACCGACCGGGACGGAGATGTGCCAGCGGGCCGGCGCAGCCCTGCACGGTGCCTTAGACTCCTGGCTCGGGAGGGCCCCGGGCTGCCACAGAGCCTTAAGGTAGCAAGAAAGGGTCGGAGCCGCGTCCCCGCGAAGGGACCGCACAGAACTCTGTTGCAGGCCTGCGCCCCAGGACTCCCGCACTTCGTCCTCGGAAAGGGGTGGCCAGGGCACCGGGTCCAGGGGCGGAGCGCAGGGGCCGGGCGCAGCCCGTTCTCGGCAGAGGGCGAGGAGGCCCCTCCCCCGCAGGACGGGAAGGAGACCGACTCCACTCGGGAATCGAAAACACCTCTGCCGCCCGGTGCCCCCAGAACACGTGAAGACCTCCTCGTTGTAAAGACGCAAGGGACACAGAGCCGGGACCCCCGTGGCCACGAGGGCGAGGTCTGGCCGCAGCAGACAAAGCTCCGGGCACGACTGCCAGAGTCTGGGCAGCAGAGAAGGTACCAGCGGCCCCTCCACAAGGGGCCCTGCGCCCCGTGGCCTGGACGCAGGCATCGGTGCACCCCGACCCCGGCCGCCACCTCAGACGGGATCACGGCCCTCCCAAGCAACGGAAACGTGTCCTTCGGTGGGGAAACGTGCAGGCAGGCTCTGCCCCCCTCACCCGTACGAGAGCCCACGTGCACAACAAGAGTGGTCCAGGGAAGTGAGAGACGTGCCTGTCGGCTCCTCGAGGGAGAACGCGTGCTGTGTGTCAACACAGCCCGAGCGACCCGGTTTGGAGAGCGGCCCCGCGGCCCCTCCCCGTGGGGCTGGCAGGCCGGGACCGATCCCCGCCCCCTTCCCCGACCGCACCCTCTGAAACCGCGTGCAGCTCCCTGAACACGCCCAGCTCCCCCTGCCCCGGGCAGTGTCACTGGACTCAAGCCCTCCCCTCCCGACTCCAGCCGGGACCAGCAGCTCCTCAGCCTCACACCACAGTTTGGCGTCCCGGCCCCAGAGCGGCGTCCCTGTCCCCGGGACCCGGCCCGGCCTCAGCCCTCGAGGAGACTGCTCTCTTCCTCCCCGGACGTACACCCCGGGCCCCCGGCCGGCTCCCGCCGGCCTGAAGCTCCTCCACACAATGGCGGGTCTGTTTCGTTCACCAGCAGGCAGCCGAGCAGACGGAAGGAAGGCACGTTCCTCTTTCCTGCCCCAAGTGTCTTCCCGTGGCCCAGAACGAGGAGCGGGACGCTCCTTGTCATCAAACACACGGAACGAGAAAGAATCCCTCCCCCGCCTGCGTGGAACGCCACGCGCCGCTCTGAAACGCCCGTGGGGCCGGCCCCGCTCGCCACCCCACGCGTGGTCCACCGGACGTACCTGGGGTGAAACCCCCCGCGAGCTGTCTGGGTGAGCATCTGCCTTGTGAGGGGCCGGCAAGACGGGCGGATCTGCTGGTCTCGCCTTGCGCTCTTCCGCTGACCTGCTGTTCACGGCTACAGGAGAGGAGGGGTTGGATCCCACACGCGCCCCACAGCCCCGAGGGGAGTCCGAGCCCGGGGTGGAAACCGTCTGGGCGGGCGCTACTCGTCCCCACGGGACGTCGTGGGACCTGCGGAGGGTCCTTTCAGTGAACTCGAGAACGGGCAAGGGCAACCAATCCTTTTTCAAGACACTTGGCACCTTCTGTCCTGCACCCCACCCCCACCCCCCAGGGACCTCGCCTTCATGGCTTCCCCTCCAGGAAGCACAGACGGAGCCAGCGGTCCGGCAGCTCCCGAACGTTCCTCCTTCCCGAGAGGATTCCCTCCGCCCTCACCCGAACTCTGCCCGGGCCCCTCCAAACACACGGTAACACGTGTGAGGAAGGGCAGGCACAGACGTGCCCGGACGGAGCCCCAGCCTCGGGACCTGAACGTGTGCGCGAGGCAGAGAGGGCGCAGACGGCGGTCCCGGCGCCGCACACCCGGCAAGCAAGCAGTCAGACGACAGCGGCTCAACAGGAGCCCGCGTCCTGGCAGGTGGCTAAAGACACTCTGCCCTCCTGTTCGCCTGCGCCTCTCGCCAAGTCGCTGACGCCCAAGGCGCTGAAGGCAGAACGCGGGACCGCCTCTGCCCGGCGGCCCTCGGGCAGCCACGCGCACACCGGGGGCCCGGCACTCGCGCAGCTGGTACCTCTCCACTGGTCGGCCGCGCTGATGCAGGACAGGAGCCCACAGAGCCCGAGAAACGAGAGGAAGAAGAGGATCGCGTTGCGCTGCAACCTCGACAGCTGCTTCCATTTCTACGGGACGGGACGGAGAACAGCACCGCTGGGAACCCGCCCAGCTGTGCCGATCCCGGGGGCACAGCGCGCAGCTCCCGAGGCCCAGCGTCCGGAGCGGGGGAGGCGCCCCGTCAGCGGACACGGCAGACGGTGTGCGGGACACGTGGGAATAAACACAGACGCAGAAACCACGCGTGTCCTACCGCGGGGGGCAGTGGGGAAAGCCTAGCGCGACGGGCGGCTTCCGGCCCGGGCAGCCGGCGGAAGCCCGCACCTGCCACGATGCGGGGTGTCGATGCCCCGCAGCCCGAGACCGCGGGGCTCCGGACCCGCTGGACCCAGGGCCGGCCTTCAGCTTTCCGCCCCTCCGGCCCCGCCTCGCGGAGCGCGGGTCCGAAAGGCGGCCGCAGGCCGGCGACCCCCGCTCCGTCGGCCCGGGACGAGCCCCGCGGGACCCCGGCCCGGCCCCGACCCTCACCCTCCAGCACGAGCGCCGCCGCCAGCTCTTGCTGCCGTCGTAGCTCTGGTCGAGGCTCAGCGTCACCGAGGTGAAGTCCCGATGCGGCGCCGGCGGCGGCGGCGGATACATGACAGCGGCGGCGGCGGCCCGGGCGACCCCGCCCACTGGCGGCGTCAGGAGGCCGGGCTCTGAGAGGCGCCGGGGGCTTCGCCGGTCCGACACCCGCGGGCAGCCATCGCAGCGCCGTCCACACCCCGCCCATCGCCCGCGCGGCCAATACGCCTGCGCCGCGCCCTCCTCGTCCCCACCGCGCCTGCGCCTGCCCCCGCGGCCCCTGCGTGCGCGCGCGCGTGCGTGCGTACGGCCCGCCGCGTCGGCGCACGGCCGCACCTGCGCCGCGCCCTCACGCCGCCGGCGCTTGCTCGCGCGCGCCCGCGCCCGTCCCGGCCGCGCTCCGTCCGCGCCTCGGCTCTGCGCGGCGTCCCCGGGCCCGGGCGGCTCCGCGGTGCCGGCAGGACGTTCGGCGCCCCCGCGCCCCCGCCCCGGGACTCGACGCCCGGCCCTGGGCGGACTCCCCGCCCCCGAGCTGGGCGGGGCCGCGGCGCAGCGGGAGGACGGCGGGCGCGGTGCGAGCCCGAGTCGGGGCCGGGCGGCCGACGGGGTCCGCTCTTTGGAGCCGATGGGCTTGGGGGCGCGCGTTTCCCCTCAGGTGACGCGCGGAAGGGCGGGCGAGCCCCGCTCCGGGCCGGGCCCCTCGGGGCAGCCCGCCGCCCTGGCCGCAGCCCTCGGCGCTGTGCGAAGGGCCCCCCGGTGTGTGCGGCTCCCGCTCAGCGCCTCGGCTTGTCTGAAGCTGCCCCCAGAAAGACCCTCCCGCTCTCCGGCCCCCCCTTGCTCCTCCGGGGGTCATCCCGGGGCCCCTGCGGGTCTGTCCCCACCAGGCGCTGGTGCCCGCGGTGCCCTGGTGCTTCCGTCCGTCCGCAGGCCGACAGCGGGGACACGTGGTATCCGGAAGCCGGGTCACCAGGCCCTCCCGCCGAGGGTTCGGGGTCCCCCCTGGAGAGCTGGGTGGGCTGCGGCGGGGAGGGGGGGGACGGCTTCTGGGCTCACACCCGGGGAGCCTGACTCACTAGGTCGTCCCTGGCCTCCCGAGACCCTGGCGTAGAGCTGGGTGGGAGCCCGAGGGGATTCCGGGGTCGCCCAGAGCAGGTGAGGGCTCGGTTATGGACTCCTGCCCTCCTGCGTGGACGGAGCTGGGAACCCGGGTGCGTTAGCAGCAGCCGCGGGCGTCAGAAACCGCGGTGGCCGGTCCAGGCCTGGATCACAGCATCCTGCGTTTACTGGGAGTCAGCCACACTCAGGAGACAGTCTTTCAAAAGCCTCCGGTTTCCTTAGCGGTTGTCCGGGGAGGGCCGGTGTTGAGGGGGCCGTCCTGCCTCCTGAGGGCAGGGTGCCCGCAACCGCCTGGGACCATTACCTCCGGTCCCACCCCTGTTCCTGAGTTGGTGACTCCTAGGATCCCATAAGCTGCCAACCCTGCAGGAAAGCCTAGGTGAAGGCTCCCCCCAACCCACCCGGGATCTCCTGGGAAACTGATTACTTTAAAATCAACGGTGTCTTTCAATGCAAGCGGTGTGGACGCCTGGGTGGCTCAGTCGTTGAGTGTCGACTTCAGCTCAGGGCATGATCTCAAGGTTCGCGAGGGTTCGAGCCCGTCATCAGGCTCTGTGCTGACAGCTCAGAGCCTGGAGCCTGTTTCCGATTCTGCATTTCCCTCTCTCTGCCCCTCCCCTGCTCATGCTGTTTCTCTCTGTCTCAATAATAATAAACATTAAAAAAAAAATAAAGGCAGGCGGTTTCAATAGTTTACCCAACTCGTGCAGGTGAGAGGTTGCAGGGTTGTTGGGCTGTGGTGGTGAGGAGGAGCAGCTGTGGGCAGGACCCCGGACCTGGGCCCCCAGCTGGGCTGTCCCTCTGCTTGTGCCGGAGCAGCTGAGAGAAGGGCCGTAAGGCACACGGTTCAATTCTGAGGTCTGCAAAGGGCTGGCACAGCCTGGCTGGAGGCAGAGTCCTGCTCTGGGCTCTGGGCGTGGCCCTGACCCTGCTGTCATGCCCAGGTCAGGGCTGTGTGTGCGAGGACACACATCCACCCTCCACTAGCCAGCTACAAGCCACTGTAGGGATCGGTGGCCTCTGAACCCCCCGGCCAGGTAACATCCTCGCCCTGGGGAAACCACCTTCCGTGGGGGAATGGGAGTAGGTGGCCTGGCGGAGTGGCAGGCTGCTTCCACACCACTCTTCACGTCAGCGGGCAGGTAGGCGCCCCCCGTGTCGCTTCCAGAGAGGAGAGCAGGCCCTGGGGTCGCAGGAGCACAACAGGGCCAGCGGTTTTCCGCAGCCTCCGTGGGGCCTCGTGGGTGCCGTGTGGGGGGACCGTGGCCCCGTACGTCGAGTCGGTGTCTCCCTCCAGAGAGCACGGGAAGCGTGAGCACCAAGATCTGTCAGAAGCCACTGGCAAGCTGCTTGGAGGAAGGCGCTCCCCGCCTGCTTGTATTTCAGCCTAATTAGCCACCACGTGTGGCCATCGCAGTGGGTCCCACTGGTTCTTGCAGAAAAGACCTAAAATGTGGCGCTGAGCCAACGGGAGACCTGGCCGAGGAGCCGAGCCTCCAAGGCACATTGAGAGAATTCGGCGTCAGCTGTGCAGGCTGCGCGTGGGGGGCGGAGGTGGGGGGAGCTGGAGGGCCAGGCTGTCACAGCCGCACCCTCCCCAGCCTCGTGCCAGACGCTGTTTCAGCTGCTGGAGAGAGAGGGAGCCGCACCTTTGGACAGGTCACCCTGCGGGGGACGGACACCGTCCCCTCCTCTCGCCGCCTCTGGCATCTGCAGAAAAGCCGCAGCCTGGAGTGGCCGGCGCTCCCCACCACGCGGATCTGGCCGGAGGGCCAGGCGGCGCCGGCGTCCTCACGTCTCCGCCCGGAGCAGGCCTGCTGCCCTCCCGGAGGGCGCTGCGCCGCTGCCTCCCACCCAGACCCCACAGCCAGGAGCACAGCCACAGAGCCCTGTTTGGTCACTTGGGTCCCCGGGAACGATGAAGGGAGTGGCACGACCCCTTGCCCCCGGGGGTTGCCAGTCCGAAGAGCAAGTCAGGGCTGCAGAGCCCTGGCCCGGGTCTCATCCAGGATGAGCGGGGACTGGAACTCCCGGCCTTGCAGATAGACTTCCAGACCCTGGAAACAAGGATGTCATGAAAGCCCCACGTTCACCTCCGTCCCCAGGTGGGGTCCACATTCTGCCTTGAGCCAGTGTGGGGCAGGGCCAGAGACCCTTCCAGCACCAAGGTCGGCTGCCTCTTGCAGACCCAGGGCCTCTCAAGCCCAGCTCTTCTCAAAGGGCAGGAGTCAGCACTCCTTCCTTGCTAGGCTCCCACGAGGTCTGGCGGATCCCTAGGCTCTGACCTCACCTGACATCCTCCCGATTCCTCACCCACCCCACGTCCCAGAAGATCCTCTGCACCTAAGAGCGGTTTTTCTCTTCGGTAACGTGAGCAGAGCAGACTTCCCGCCGCAGCACGCACCGCTCCGTAGCCCTCCTCCCGACCCTGCGCCCTAACCCCCAGAAAAGCCCCGAATGAGTTGGTCTCACCTCTCCAGAGTACGACACCAAGGGCGAGATCTCACAGATGGCGGGAGGCTCTCCAGCGCTGGGCAAGCTGTGGGAGCCCGTGTGTCAGCACCTACGCGGCACGGCGCGCGCCCGGGGCTGGCCGTGCCTGGCCCAGCTCCCAAAGATCTCAGCACCACCACCCCCTTGCACCTCCAGACCCTCAGCAAATTGCCCGTCCGAGTAATCGGCTCTAATTTGGACCGGAAGACGCCCCCTCAGCGTGCAGGCATCCCAGAGCCCGGGCAGAGAGATTTAGGTGGTGGCCACGTCCTTTCCTTTTCCAGTCCTGAAAAGTGACCTGCGTTGCTGTTTTCCAAATGTCAAGCCTAGATCTTGGCTTCAGAGTTTATAAGGCCCTCAGAAGACCTCGAGGCGTTAGGCTCAAAGCTGCAGGCAGTCGCTACAGCTGGGCAGGGCGCGTGGCCACCCGCTCCAGTCCCCAGCGCAGCTCAGACAGCAGCGGAGCCGGCGAGGCCCCGGGGCGGGGAGCCGGACCTGGACACCCTGTCCTCTGGGGGGCACGCTCAGGTGCACACTCACCTGCGCAGCTCAGGGAGCCGGGCCCCACACGCATCCAGGAAGCGGGCGCCGGCGCGCAGGGCCCATCGGTAATGCTGTAGGAGAAGAGCGCGCCGCGCCGAGTCGGGCGTGTCCCTGGCGGCAGAGGCAGCATTCTTCAGGGGAGAGAACTCCTCCTCCCGAGGCACTTCAAAGGCCACAAAGTTCCTGCGTGGACGACGGCCAGTGACTGGGTGTCCCGGCCCAGAGGCCCTGGTCCCGGGCAGGCGAAGGCTGCACCAGGGGTTACGATGACCAAGCGGTGGTCTGGAGGCCCCCCAGGTACTGCGTGTGTCTTTGTCCCTGAGATCCCTGGGGCTGCCTGAGGCCCCTCTGTTCCCACCAGCCAAACCCACAGACCCCGAGACCCCAGAGCGAGGGCCGAGCCCCCCGGGAGCCCCCCAGCCACCGGCCCAGAAACAGCCTCTAACCCCTGGCCAGGAACAGACGGAGGGCTCAGGAGTGGCAGGGGTGGCCCCCAGAGCGCACAGCGCCAAAGCCTCAGGCTCCCCGATGCTGCCGTGCTCACACTGCAGAGGCTGCTCCTCCCCTCCTCCCTGAGCCTGCCTCCAGCCCCCAGCGCCCCACTGCAAGGGCACACTCCCACTGTCCCCCACGAGCCCCCACTTCCCCGCCCAGCTAGGTCTCGGAACCCACCACCAAAACAAGGGGAGGGGAGAAAAAAAATTAACGACTTCCGCCACTAACTTAGCAAACTGGAACACATCAAACACAAACTTCTCCATCTTTATCCCGTTCGGTTTTAGCGGCTTTACCAGATTTCCCTCCTCATCCACGTAGGGAACCTTCTTCACAGCCACGTGTGGCTTCAGCAAGGGCTCAAAGTCACTGCGGGGACGGGAGAACAACAGAAGGAAAAGCACAGCTCAGACAGGACACCCCCGGGAGCCCCAGCCCCACCTCTCCGCACACCTGGCCGGGCGGCACGGGCTGACACACGGACACTGCAGGGTACGGGAACCCTGGGCGCTGAGCCCTGTCTCGGGAAGGGCCTGGGCACCCTCTTGCGCTCCTCAGCCCGAGAGACACTGGCGCCATCGGCCACGGCCTGCCCCGGTGAAGCGGCAGCTGGCAAGCCGCAGGGCAGAGGTGGAGCCTGAGGGCACCGGCCACCTTACAGGAGGAAGAGCAGGCCAACTGGGCCCCGGGGGCCGCTGGCCGATTTAAATGCGCCCCAACCCACAGGCGGGCCCCTGGCGGCAGCCCCGCTCGGCTCGGGAGCAGCCCCCTCGGGCCCCTCCTGAGCACACCTGACCACCATCTGGAGGAAGCCTCGAGTGAAGAAGTGGTTGCAGATGTTGCCCAGGCTGTAGAGCAGGCTCCCATCGGGCCCGCGGAGCTGTGCGGTCTCGGGGCTGATCTCGCTGTACTCCACCACCCGCGGGACTCCGTCCAGCTGGCACACCACTCCCACCGGCTCCTCGGGCGAGGCCTTCTCCACCACCTGCGGCCGCGGCAGAGGCTGGAAAGGCTGGCTGGGGCAGGGCCAGGTGGTCCGGGAGGGGCTGGGGCGGGGCGGGGCGGGCAGCCGGGCAGGGGGGCGGGGGCTCGCTCACCTTGGCGCCACAGTCGGCCCCGCGCAGCACACAAAAGCCGATGAAGACCGGGTCGGCCAGCCGCACGAGGATGTTGTCCACACAGTACACGTGCACAAACTCCACGCCCCGGCGCTCCATGTCCTCTAGAATCTGGTGGTCTGACAGTGCAGAGTACAGTCCTCCGTTGCCGTCTGCCAAGGGGGAAAAGGACCAGTCCCGGGGGGGTTCAGCCGCCTAGTCCAGAGCCTGAGGGAGGCAGGGGAGGCCCCTGGGCCTGGACCTTGGACCTGAGGCAGCTCTGTGTCACTATCCAAGTAGCCCTGTGGTTGTGTCATGGGACACAGGAGAATCAAGGTCCAGAGAGGAGAGGCCGCTCACCCAGGGCCACACAGCCTCCTAGCATAACATTCTGTCCTCCTCCGCAGCCCTCCTGACCTCTACTTACCATCTCGTTCCAGACCGGGCAGCACTTCCCTGGCTCAGGGGTGGGGCATACCTGGGGCCATGGCGACCTTGTCTTTCTGCTCCAGGATGGCCCTGCCGTCGAAGGTCACAGCAGGCAGCATGCGCTGCTCAAACATGATCACGTTGTCGGGGTCCAGCTGGAAGAAGCTGTGCTCCTTGAAGAACTTGGCGGTGGGCTCCAGCGTGAACTCACTTGTCATGATGTACCTGCACGGAGACAAGCGAGGCTGAGCAGCCCCTTTGAAGGGGCCCGCCCCTCCGGGATACCGGGCTCTGACAGGCGCTGGCCTTGGAGTCAGGTCTGGGGCTGAGGTCAGGCCTCAGTCTGGCCGGGGCTGGGGCTGGGGCTCAAGTGTTGGTGTGGGGCAGAGCTGATGCCACATGGGCAGGGGGAGCATCCCGGGGACAAGGTAAGGCAGGAAAGGCCCACCAGGGTACGGTGCACTGGGTCCCATGGCGCTCGCCCGCCAGCTGCTGCACCCGCTGAATCCGTTCTGCCTGCAGCTGATACAGGGTCTTCTGGCTGGGCAGCCCCACCTGATACATGCCTTTGGGGTAGGTCACGCCCAGGCGAGTGCCCTGCCCACCAGCCAGCAGCAGCACCGCAACCTTGCTCAGGGCGATCTGGTGGAAACCTGGGGGCAGAGGGTACCATGAGGGGTCACCCCTTCACTTTACAGCAAGCCGGACACGTGCCTAGGACTCTAAGACTTCTGACAGCCACGGAACAGAGATTTCCAAATAACATTCCGATCTCACGCGGGCCAGGGCCCCATCCATATCCGACATGGTCCAGGCCCAGCAGGCAGGGCTCCTGACGCGTCCTCCAGAGTTGACTCCCCATCTGGGCCCTTCAGAGGCAACACCAGGTCAGCCTGGTCAGAGCAGTTTGGTGGGGGCCCCGGGGCGGGCTTCCAGGAGCGCCTGCCTCGCCCGTAAGGCCAAGAATGCACCTGCTGGGCCTGCGCAGCTGGCCATCCGGGTGGCGCCTTCACGCAGCGCTCGAGGGGAAGCTGCCTGGGGGCGGATGCCCCCTTCGCAGCGTCGGGCGCCCCACGCCTGAGTCGCGAGCGGGCGTGTGAGAGGAGACTCCACAGAGGACCGAGCACGCCGAACCCCTCCAAGTCCCACCCCTCCCGCCCCCCCACTGTGGGCCAGGCCCAGCCCGCCCGGGCCGCCCGCCCCGCCTACCTTCCTGCTCCCAGAGCCGCCGCGTCTCGGGGTCGCACCGGCTCGCGCTGCCCACGCGCTCCGGCGGCAGGGGCCGCAGGCGCGCCTCCAGGCCGGGCTCCGGGCCCGGGGGGCGCGCGCAGGCCGCAGCCGCGCGCCGGCAGTGCTCGCGCAGCGCCCCCGGCTCCAGCGCCCGCAGCTCCGCCAGCAGCGCGGCGCGCGGCCCCGGCGCCAGCTCGGCGCAGAAGCGCAGCAGGTGCTCCTGGCCCGCGCGCCGCAGCCGGGCGCGCACGTCCCGCTCCGCAGCCATGGCGCCGCCGTCGGCCGCGCGGGCGCTCGTGACTCGCGCCGTCCTGCGGGCGTCACGCGACCCCGGGGGGCGGGGCCAGGCCGCTCCGCCGCGCCCCGCCTCCGAGCGCCCCTCCCACCAGGCCCAGGCCCCGCCCACGCCCCGCCCCTGCCCTGACTCCGCCCCCGTCCGCTCAGTGCCGGAAGCTGAGGGGCCGAGTCGGAGCGCTGGGGACGCCTGAGCCGTGGGGCCCGGGGGGCCTGGGGCGCCCCGACCCCCCCGCCCCTTTCCCCGCACCCGCTTGAGGGCTGACTTCAGCGCTGATGTACCCCGTCTGGCCCCACAGCCCTGAGGTCAGAGCACCCGACGCGGAGGCGGTGTTTGCCTTGCCCACCACTCCTGGCGGCGGGGCTGGGGAGGGTGGAGCCAGATCCGTAGGGTCAGCGGTGTGGACGCCGCCAGGGCCTCCCCAGAGGGCCGCCCTTCGTCCTTCGCATTGCCCTGTAACCACAAGGGCCCAGGAGCAGCCCTCCGCCCCGCAGGGTCATTTTAACTATGGCTTTAAAATATTTTCCTATTTATAAAAATATAGCTAGATCTTGCTGTCTATAAACTCCCTTGTGAAAAATAACGAGAGTAGCGTGACGCATTTTGGGACAAAGCCTTAAGAAAAGGTTTTATTAAATATAAAAGTAAAACAAATTCAAATGGCATTTTGGGACCCAAAATGAGAAGTGACCTCTCCCCCAGACCTCCCCAGCTAACCCCTGTTAAGGCAAGCGTGTCTTTGTGCAGGCAGGTCTGTACATAGAAGCTCCCACACGCTCCCTTCCTGGGTTAGGAAGTAGAGCTTCACAGCGCCCTGGGGGTGCACTTTAAGTTCTGGTGGACCCTTCAAGGATGGCCTTCCGCCTGCCTCAGGACCTTTGCACTTGCTGTTCCTCCTACCTGGACTGCTCTTTCCCAGAGACTTCCTGCCACACTCTGCCAGGTCTCTGTTCTTGTGTCACTTCCTTAGGGAGACCCTCCCAGGTCACGTTGGCTCAGAGAGAACCCTCCCATCCGTCTCTGTTCCTTCCTGCCTTTCCACATTCTCTGCTGCTTGACTCCCCCCAGAAAGGAAACTCCACAACAGCTGGATGTAGTTTGGTTCGCTGCTCTGCCCCATCACCCTAGGTGAATGCCCAGCACACAGTAGGAGCTCAGGAAATGTCTGCTGGATGAGTGAGTGTCGGATCCCACACCTAGCACAGTGACTGGGCCACAGCTAGTGTTCAGGGAATGCTGAATGAATGAATGAATGAATGGTCTGCTCCAATAGTTTGTGGCCGTTGAAGGGCAGTTTTGGGCAGGTGTTGGAGGTGTGCATAGAGCAAAGTGGGCCCCACACCTCAGGCCAGAGTCCCCGGGAGCGCTTACCCCCTGCACATGTGCCCTTGAAGACAAGTGTCACGTGAAATCAGGGCTCATCTCAGTCAGAGCGACCCCCAAATCTCACTTCAAGGTAGGGGTTGGGCTGATATCAGGAGAGTTTGGACAGTTGAGGCTGTGTAGCCAGAGGCACCTAATGGGCCAGAGCTGACCCACCTGAGCAGACAGGTGGGCGTGCCAGCGATGCAGGGGTGAGTAACAGCCTCCTGGGCCACCTGGCCAAGGCAGGCTTTCGGCCAAAGAAACACCTTCCCTTTGTCCTAGGGCTTCATCCCCAGAGGCCAGGGAGCAGAGACCAGAGAATCGCCGGCACTGGGCAGTTACCTGTCCTTCGCTCCATGCTGCGTCGGGCAGGGGACAGAGGGGCCTGGTCCCCCTGTCCCCCTATAAGGAGCTCTGAGCTGGCACAGTGAGAACATCATCACGGTGGGGAGGGGCACCTCAAAGACTACAGGGGCCACAGGGGACCCACCTGGCTTGGGGCTCTGGTCCTCTGGGGCAGTGGCAACAAGGACAGGTACAGAGCTAGGCAAGCGTTGGGCCAGGTTAGAGAGGAGGAAGTGGTCAGAATTCAGGGCAGGAAGTACACGGGAGCCACACCTTAGTCCCACACCCAGAGCCGAGACTGACTCCAGTTTTTTCTGTACCTTCCTCCAGTGCCTAGCCAGGGAAGCCCACCAGGGGGCCGCCAGGCCAAGGGGCCGGGGGGACCTCCTCGTCCAGGCTCCCGACACCCTGAGCAGGCCTAGTTTTCTCTGCACGGTGGGCTCAGGCTCGCAGTGGCCCGGGCCTGGGTGCTTCTGGCCATGCTGTCCTGCAATCCTGAGCTGTAGCAGCAGGACTTGGACTTGCTGGCCGCGGCCTGCACGTCTACACAGCCCCCCACAGAGCTGTCCCCAGGCTGCCCATCCCACCCAAGGCTGGCGTTTCCACTGTGACATCCAGAATGAGGCTTCCCACGTGCCGGCTGCCCACTAAGCCTCCACAGTGAGCTGAAGCCAGGCCTTGGGGTGGCTCTGAAAGCCCAGGGAGGGACCCGTGGGGACAGAGGCACGAGAGCTAGGAGAAAGCAGCTTTGAAGGTCGGGACATCCAACCAGACTTCCAAGGGTGGGTGAGGGACCTGAGGGGTTTCAAAGGCTGCACAGTGATGGGCCAGGAGCAGACAGGGAAACACGCTCCTGTAGGAGAGCTACGTGCGCAAGGGCCCAGCGGTGAGAGAATGCTGGGGACCCTAAGGATGGGGGGGAGGGGCGAACTGGAGGGAAGGCGGCCTGAATGCTGTTCTGTGACTCTGGCTAGTCCTGTCCCTGAAGGGGAGGCCCGGGCTGAACCAGGCTCCAGGGGGAACCTCCAGGCTCCCAGCTTTCTAGGTCCTTCCAAAATTCCTTACCATAAAGGAGCCTCAACTCTGAAGACCGGGAAAGGTAGCAAAGGAAAGTCTCATTCAGAACGGAGTCAGGAGGGCCTGACAGAGGAGCTCTCGTGGACAGGGCACCTGTCCCAGCTGACCTCATGGCCCTGGGCAGGAAGAAAGTCCCCTTGACTGCCCTGGAAAGAGGAAGGAAGTCCCCTTCTGGATGAGACCCCCGGCGGGCCCCAGCCCCCTTGCAGCCGGACCCGCGGGTCGACTGGATGCTGGCTGGGAGCGGAGCAGGGCTGTTCCCCAGGAGCGCGGCCGGAGGCACGGCCCAGCCAGGGGAGAGGCTGCAGCAGATGGGGATCTGGGGACACAGGAAAAAGTGGCTTTGTCCTGCGGTCGGCAAGAAAGGCCAGGCGATCCCGAGGGACGCGGGGAGGAGCCAGCAGGAGCGCCGACACACAGGCCTCTGTGAGGGAAGCGCCCGGCCGGCTGGGGCCCAGGCCTCCGGGGACTCTCCTCCTGAACGGGCCCCAGAGTCACGGTGCCTGGGCCCGGAGACCCCCCGCGAAGAGTCCCAGGGGAGGAGGGGGAGGGTGAGTCCCTGGAGGAGGGGTGCTCCCCATCCTTACCCCACGAGGCCACCTGGGGACAGGTTTTCGGAGGGCGCCGGGCCCCGCCCCTCAGAAGGGCTGAGCCTCCGCCAGAGAGCTGGGGGGGCGGGCTCGAAGGGGAGCTGAAGGGGTCGCTCGGAGCTCCGCCCGCCGCCCGCGAGGCGCACAGGGGGCTGAGTCGGGGGCTGGGTCGGGACCGCCCCCCCACCCCCCGCTAGTGCCCGAGCCGACGCGCATCCCCGGCCGCTCCCTGCACGGCGGCGGGAGCGCGCGGGGCGGGGCCCGCGGCGGAAAAATCAAACCGGGCTGGCGGCCTCTCAGCCAATCCGGGAGCAGACGGACCGGCTTCGGCCAATGGCTGCCGCGAATGCTAACGAGCTCTGACGCCACGAGGAGGGTCCATTCAAAAAGTCGCCGCTATTGTCGCGCCGGGTTGCGCGCGCCGGCCGGGCCCCGCCGTCGGGCCGCGCGGGGACCGCGCTCCGGACGCAGCCCGCTGGCGGCTGCCCATGGCCGGAGCCGCGATGGCCGAGCCGGGCCGCGGGCCGCCCGCCGCGCCGGGCACCGAGGGGCTGCCGCGCGCCTTCCTGCAGAGTCTGCGCACGCTGTTCGACATCCTGGACGACCGGCGGCGCGGCTGCGTGCACCTGCGCGAGATCGAGTCCCGCTGGCAGGGCGCCGACGCGCGCGAGCTGCCCCGCGGCGTGCTGGAGGGTCTGCGCCGCGCCGCGCCGGCCAGCGGCTACCTGACCTTCGAGCGCTTCGTGGCCGGCCTGCGGACCTCGCTGCCGGGCGCCGACGGCGGCCCGCGGGGAGGCGGCCCGGTGCGGCCGGGGGGTCAGCCGCCGCCGCCGCCGCGCCTGGCGTTCGCGCCGGCCGACGAGCCGCGGACGCTGCTGGAGAGGAAGCCCCTGCCCCCGGGGGCGCGGCCCCCGCCCGGCGGCGCGGCCCGGAGCCTAGAGAAGCTGTGCGGCCCCGCAGAGGCAGCGCCCGGTCCCGCGGAACCCGAGCGGCCCCAGGGCGCGGCGCTGGAGCGGAGCCCGAGCGCGGACGCGGGTGAGTGCGGGGCGGCCTCCAGCCCCGCCTCGTAGCCGCCCCCTGCCGCCCCCGAGACCCGCGCCTCCGGCCAGGAGCCAGACAAGCGCGGCGGGCGAGGGCGGGGGCGAGCTGCTCTGCCCGGGCCCGGGAGCCGGGGGCGCCTGCAAGTGAGAGCCTCCTGGTTCCCGGCTTCCCGGTGTGCTCGGGGGCCGGGAGGCGGGCCAGCCCCTCCGCCGCCACCGCGGGAGGCTGCCGGGCCCGGGGCTGGCGGGTGAGTCCGCAGACCCCGCCCGGAAGCCGCTGTGCAGGCCTGAGCTGGGCGCTGAGGATCCCCCCGCCGCACACGTGGGGACACAGGCCCTCGGCGGCACCTGTGACAGCTGCCGAGGCAGTTCTCCAGTGCGGAGGAGAGAGGGGCCTCCCTGCCCTTTTAGGTTCTCAGTCTGGCAGCTCCGCTGAGGCTGCGGGACCTGCTGCCTCCACCATGAGGCCAGGACAGGTGGGAGGTGACGCAGGAGGAGGAAAGCGGTGGGTGGGTCTCCAGCCCAATCTTCAAGGCCTTCAGGGGTGACACCAGGGAGAGACCCAGGCGCAGCCACTGGGGATGGCCTGCGAGCTCCCTGCCTGGCTTCCGGTTCAGTTGGCAGTGACAGGAGGCGGCTGAACGGCTCCCCTGTGGGCCCCTCCAGTGTCTTCCCTGGGAATAGCACCTGCCTTATGGCTGAGGGCAGGGTCCAGACCCCTCAGCCCATTCCGCCTGCCCCTGTGCTCCCCCACCCCCACCCGCCACCATGGCCACAGCCAGCCCTTTCTATGCCTTCACCACTTTGCTGGCTTCATGGGACCTCCGCCCCAGCCTTGCCCATATCCCCCAGCCTCATAACTGGGCTTGGAGCCACAGTGGCTCCTGGCCTCCTTGGTGCAGCCGTCCAGCAGCCCACCCCAGGCTGCCTCCCCTTCCTCACTGCCAAGCACGCTGTCCCTGTGGTGTGGGCAGGCAGGGGGCACTCAGCGCAGGGCCAGCGCCATCCCTGTGGCTGCTCGTAGTTGACAGTCGGCTGTGGGACTGGGGTTGGGAGGCCTCGGACTGCAGCCCGGGTGCCTGACCCCTGTGGGCAGCGTTAGTCTCAGGCCAGGCTCCCGCTGTCACCTCTTCCAGGCAGAGACCCAGACAAGAGGCACGGCGCGTTCTGGAGCTCCAAGGCCCCCCAGCTTCCCAGGAAGAGAAAGCCCCCATATTCACAGAGGCCCCCACTCCAGAGACCCAGGGGCCCCTCCCCTCTCCCCTGGGGGAGCCTGCCCTGGCCCTGTGGGTACAGGCTGCTAGCTCAGGCCCAGATGGGGACAGGGCTGCGTCCGCCTGCCGGCCACCCTGCACATCCGCCATGCTGCCATCCAGGAATCGGGAGCTGCCCCCGCACCGCGCCCTCCAGCCTCCCTCTGCTGCGTGTTCTGTGCCAGCCATGCAGCACGGGCAGGTTGGGACGCGAGCTCTGGGCTGGCTCAGAGCCTGTCTGCCTGTAGAGACCTGGTGGCGGCCCTGTGGACGTGTCCCCTCCCAGGGCCGGGGGCGTGGCCTGTGAGGCTGAGCCTGGTGTGGGGGAACAGGGTTCTGGAGCCAGGGGAGGGTGACCGCCTCCACACCTGCACCCCGCTCCGCCCCTCTTGGGTTGCCCTGCACATGCTCCCCTCCCCCAGGGAAGTCAGCTGGCCCTGCTGGCCTTTCACTGCCAAGCACACCCTGCTGCAGGTGGAGCCCCTGTTACTGCCAGGTGTGGCAGGTGTCGGCCCAACGTGGTGTTTTATCCTTCCTGGGAAAAGTTAGGTCCAGGTGACGCATGCCCTCGCGTTTTGCCTGCACCAACTGTCGCCCCTAAAAGCCCTGGCCGACCAGGAGGGGGAAGCAGGGATGACCAGAGGCCTGCTCAGTCTCCCCATACTTAGCAGCCCATGGGCCCCTGCAGTGTGCTTGAAGTGCCCTGGGCACCACGAGTGCTGAGAAGAACCGGGTAAAGCCCCTGCCCCAGGGCGCTCGTGCTGGGGCACGAGTGTGGCACACGCATCTGTGTTGTGTGTGCAGCCTCAGTGGCCACACAGCCCTCCCCAAAGGAGGGGTGAGGGGAGCTGGTGGGGATCGAGCGGGTAACCAGCCCTAACCAGGCAGAGGCCAGGTTGTGTGCCGCGCTGGGCCGTTGCCCATGTCCCCAGGATGGGTTGAGATGGGGAGGGTCCATGCAGAGGCTCTGAGTTCCCCATGACCCCAGGGACACGTAAGGCTGGACACGCAGCTCTGCACCGCCAGGCTTCAGGGTGGGGGGCGTTGGGCTTGACTAGGCAGGCTGGCAGTGAGCCAGGTCTTTCCCCTCTGCGGCAGGTGCAGTAGCCTGCAGGGCCCGGGAGCTAGGCCTGGGCGATGCCCACCGGGCGCCCCGTGCCCGAGGGGAACGTCGGAGGCACACCATCACCAACGGCGTGGACTGTGACCTGGTGAGTGGGGGCTCTGGGGGAATCTCCACCCGGCCTGGGCTAGGACTTGGCCCCCACGCTTGGTCGGCTGGACCACCCCTCTGCCTGGAGGTGGCAGTCAAGGCTGGGTTCTGGGGGACCTGTGGCTGGAATGTCAGTTAATTATAAACGTTTGTCCCCACGGCTGGGCTTGAATCCACGTGAGACACGGCTCTAGGCCAGATGAAGCAGCCCTTTGGGGAGAAGGCGGCCTCGGGGCACCACACAGCGGGCCTGCCCCCCCCCCCCAGCTGCCCGCACCAGCCTGCTTCCCGAAGCTCGGAAGCTGCTGAGTTGGGGGCGTTGCCCGTGTTCCCCCGGGGAAGCCCCCCCTCCCGCCCCGCCTGCAGGAGGAGAAGCGGGGAGGGGCTTCCCAGCGCGGGCACGCGCAGCACTCGCACGCGTACAGGCGTGTGTGCCGTGCGGGTGCTCACTCGCGTGTGGGTGCTCACTTGCATGTGCAGCTGAAGCAGATGAAGGAGCTGGAGCAGGAGAAGGAGGTGCTGCTCCAGGGGCTGGAGATGATGGCTCGCGGACGCGACTGGTACCAGCAGCAGCTGCGGCGCGTGCAGGAGCGGCAGTGCCGCCTGGGCCAGAGCAGCGCCCGTGCGGTGAGTGACGAGGCGGCCCAGGCGGCCCTGTCCCTGGACGGAGGGGCCCTCCCCGTCACGCAGGAGCCACCCCTAACCCCAGGCAGACCCTGGACTGCCCTGTTCCAGGACACATGGGCCATCCCTCCTCCCAGGGTGCCGGGGACCCCCCCACACACACTGTGTGTCCCCTAGGACACACGATGCCCCAGAGCGGGTGACCACCAGCTCCCATGGGCCCCTCTCTGCTGGGGCAGTAATTTGGGAGATGAGTGAGGACTCCCCCAGGCACGGTGGCAGATCCTGCTCTCTGACCTCCTTTTCTGCCTTCCTCTCAGGACTCTGGGCCGGAGGCGAGCCCCCTCCCACTGGGCCGGCTGCTGCCCAAGGTCCAGGAGGTGGCCCGGTGCCTGGGGGAGCTGTTGTCTGCAGCCTGCGGCGGGAGGGTGAGTGTCCCCCAGACCACCCAGCGCCCACCTGGGGCCCCTGCCCGTCTTGGCGCGCCCCCTCCCCCTCGTCCCGGAGGCGAGGCCTGCCTGACCGTGGCCTCCCATAGGCTCTGCCCTCATCGTCCTCGGGGGCCCCGTGCCTGGCCCCGGCCCCCGCCTCACCGTCAGCCCCGGGCCGGCAACAGCAGACCATCCTGATGCTGAAAGAGCAGAACCGGCTCCTCACGCAGGTGAGGTGTGGGGAGGGGCGCAGGGTGGGGGCTGGAGGCCTGATGGGCCCTGACCCACCTCCCGCCTGCCCAGGAGGTGACCAGCAAGAGCGAGCGCATCACGCAGCTGGAGCAGGAGAAATCGGCCCTCATCAAGCAGCTGTTTGAGGCGCGCGCCCTCAGCCCGCAGGATGCTGGGCCCTTGGACTCCACCTTCATCTAGCTGGCCACGGCCACGGGGCTCCTGGGACCTGGCCTGGCAGTCACCTCCTTGAGCCTCACTTGGCTGAAGGCCACCTGACTGGCCTGGACATGGGTTTCTCCCTCTCCTCCAGCCTGGGCACCCCCAGGCCCCCCGCCCAGCAGCCAGGCTGTGGTCCAGATACGGATTAGGTCCCAGACTCAGGGGAGGGGCTCAGCTGGGGGGGCTCCATCATGCTAATACAGCCTGAAGCTGCTCCTGCCGCCGTCAGTGGACAGTGGGGGCTCCTCCTCAGGTTTACCGGGTCTCAGGCAGCCCTGGGCTGGCGGGCTCTGTGGCAGGCCTGTCCTCTCTGACCTGGGGTCTCCGGCGAAAGATAGTGGTCACCCCTAGGCTGCACTTCCGACCGCAGCCAGCAGAGGGCGCCTCACACACAGCAGCCAAGAGCCACATTGGAGCCGCCGCTGGGGTGGTGGGCGGGGGTCTGAGTCAGGGTCCCTGAGGTGGACTGGAGCAGCTGGGGGCCCAACAGGTGATTGGGCACAGGAGCCCCAGGCCTAGGGGTGTCTGCCCTTCAGCCGGGGGCACGTGGAGGAGATGAGGGGTGGTTTCTAGCCGGGGGGTCGGCCTGTGTCTGATCCTGGGGGAGAGCGATCAGAGTTGATGTCTGGGCCAAAGTTGGCCTGCCTCCCCCTCCTCACAGACCCCAGACCCTAAAACACCTTGGGTTAGCTGTCACTCCTTGCCAAGACTGAGCCCCACAGCGAAACCCGTGACCCAGGCTCTGGGTCTTGGGCCCACCGGACACCCCGGTCAGGGCAGGACTGGTCACCGGGGTCGCTCCGGTGTGACCCTGCCCTGGGGAGGGCCCTGTCCCCAGGAGGGATGTGGCCTCCTGGACGTGCCCCAAGGCTCCTCCTAGGCCAAGCACCCCCACCAGGACCTACCCCACGTGATTCAAGGCTGGACAGTCAGCCTCCCCCCTCTGGTTTGCAAATGCTGTTGCATCTGGTGGAACCCCCTTCCCCCCCCCACTTCCCCTGGCTTGCAGCCCTCCGGGATGGAGTGAAGGACCGCCCGGAGGCCTGCGGGGGGGCAGGCTCGGCAGCAGTGACCTCTGGGGTGCCTGCCAGCCCGGAGGCTCCGCGTCCCCTGTTCTGCCTTCACACAGCTCAGGAAGCGGGAGACCTTCCACAGAATGTGCCCCTTCAGCCACAGGGGAGTGTGGAGTCAGCAGGCAGCTCAGGGATAGGACCCCCTTGTCCTCGGGGCTCCGTGCGGAGTGAACACACACGTGCTCTCTGCCGTGTGCCGTCAGGCTGCCTGTGGGGCGCTAGACCCCCCGGGGGAGAAGTTGAGTGGTCCTCGGCTGCTGGCAGAAGGCACACCTGTTCTGCAGCAAAGCACTGGTGACATTTGGGGCCGAGTGAGTCGAGGGGGGAGGGGCTGTCCCTGCCCGTGTGACGCTGACCTCCTTGGGAGTGTCACACTGACAACTGTCCCGTCGGGCAGTGGTGGTGAGACACTGTCCCTGACGGAGGATCCCCGTCCCGGACGACATAACCTCGCCTGGCCGGAAGGGTTTCACGGAGCTCAAACTCCGAGGAAAATGAGCCTCTCCAAGGTAGATTTTTTGGCAAACACCGTGAGGAGAGCGTCCCCCACGGGCCCGCAGAAACTGATTCTGTAGACCGTTCAGACAGTGGAATTATCAAAATATAAGATGATTTTTATACGTCTAAAGAAATAAAAAAGATTCTTGAAAATACGAACAAGGAAGAGTCTTTGTACATTCTTATTCTGTGACAGTATAGTCTATGATGATGGGCGATAATGCTTAAAAAGAGAAACTTCTAGAAAAATATAAATTGAAATTCAAATGGGCTAAACTTGAGATGAAAATGTTAGTGAAAAACGAGCTTCGGAAATGACCCCGAGACACCAGAAGCACAAGCGAGGGGCGTCCTGACGGGCAGACGGAGAGGCTCACCCATCCGTTTGCATTTCCCAAAAGGGACGAGGAAGGAGGTGCGATGTGTGAAGATAAACTAGCTTCGAGTTTCCCAGAATTGTCTAAAAACCTCAGTCTCCGGGTCCAGAAATTCCAACAACTGCTGGCCAGGCTGAGTGAGGAGGAACGCACGTTTTCTCTCACAAGATCACGAGGGACCCAGAGATGAAAGCAGCGGCCTCCAGGGGCCCCGGCGGCAGAGATGGAGCCTGGCGGCTCTGACGGCCAAGATGTGTAATTACTAACCTCCAAGGCCAGACCCAGAGAAACTCAGGAATGAGGACAAAATAAAAACATTTTTAAAAAAAATGGAGAGCTCGCCACCAATAGGACTTGGCTGAAGGAGAATCTGGAGGAAGGACTTCAGAAAAAAGGCCCAAGTCCAGAAGGAATCCTGAATAAGGATGAATTCTCTACTGCTTCTGGACGAAATTAACACAGAGCTCAGTGATTTAAAGCAAGAGTTATTTTATTTTAAATGTTTATTTTGAGAGAAAGAACAAGCACGAGCAGGGGAGGGGCAGAGAGAGAGGGAGAGAGAAAATCCCAAGCAGGCTCTGCACCATCAGAGCCCCATGCGGGGCTTGAACTCATGAACTGTGAGATCGTGACCTGAGCTGAACCCGAGTCTTAACCAGCTGAGCCCCCCAATCAGTAGCTGGTTTCTCGCCGTTTCGGTGGGCGAGGAACTCGGGAGCGGTTGTGCTGGCCGGTCCTGGCCTGGAGGCTCGGGGCCACGGCGCCCACGTGTGCTGGGGCCGCCCTCCCAGCCCTGCGGCGGGTTTCCAGAGCAGAGACCCAAGAGCAGCAGCCGTGAGGACCCGGCTCCGGAGCCCCTGAGTCAGAGGCTCGCGTCTGTCCCCTGGAAGCCAGCTCTCGGTCCAGTCCTTACTCAAGGGCTGTGGGCAGAATCACCGCCTTTCCAAGGAAGAACAAAATAACAAGCACGTATGTTTTTTATTTATTTACTTTTTTAATGTTTTTTTAATTACAAATAGTTTATTGTCAAATTGGTTTCCACATAACACCCAGTGCTCATCCCCACAAGTGCCCGCCTCCATGCCCATCCCCCCCTCACCCCCCATATCCATCAGCCCTCAGTTTGTTTCTCAGCAGTCAAGAGTCTCTCATGGTTTGCCTCCCTCCCTTTCCCCCACCATTTCCCCCTTCTTCTCCCCCTCGCTCCACAGTTAAGTTCCTCCTAATCCTCCTATACGTGCATAAATGTTTTTTTTTTTTAATTTATTTCTAGGAGAGAGAGACAGCGTGAGCGGGGTGGGGGAGGGTCAGAGAGGGAGGGAGACAGAATCTGAAGCAGCTCCAGGCTCTGAGCCGTCAGCACAGAGCCCGACGTGGGGCTCGAACCCACGAACCGCAAGATCATGACCTGAGCCGAAGTCGGACGCTTAACCGACTGAGCCCCCCAGGCGCCCCCAAGCACGTATGTTTAAACCAACCCAAATGCATAGTGAAGTCTAAGCAAGCCTGGACTATATACAGTAGTAGTGACGCTAGTTTGGGGGGGGGGACAGACCCCGTCTGCCCGGCGCGGGGAAGGCGGCGGCTGAGGCGGTCGGCAGTGCTTGAGCTGTGCGTAAGAAGGGACAAGGTACCCACTTTGAATTTTATTAAATGTGTCTTGAAATAACCAGGAGGGCCCGGTGCCACAGCGGCTCCATGGTGGCGCCTTCACACGAAGGGAGAGGCAGGGGATGGGGAGAGAAAAGGGAAAAGAAGTTAGACCTTTAAGAAAAAGCAAAAAACCCCCAAACACAGTAAGGGGACGGAGCTGCATTGCAATCACAACATAGATGAATGGATTAAACTCTAATTCAGGTTGGAGTTTTAGAAACTCAGCTGTTTTAAGAGACAGACCTAAAATATGGCATCGAGAGAGAGAGAGAGAAAAGCTTGAGTGGTTGTATTAATATAAAACAAAACAGATTTTAAAGCAAAAGACATTGCTAGTGACGCAGAGAGCAGCTCCCTAATGATGAAAAGCTTAAATTAGCAGCGAACCAGAACAAGCCTCCACTTACCATCGCCCCGTGAGCTGCAAAAGATGCAGACCTTTCACTCAAGATCTGCAGACGGCACGTAGGTACGTGAGAGGGTGTTCATTGCGATTAGCCGTGAGATACCTGCAAATTAAAACAACTACAGTGAGGGGCGCCTGGTGTCTCAGTCGGCTGGGCATCTGACCTCAGTTCAGGTCACAGTCTTGTGGTCTGTGGGTTCGCGCCCTGCGTCGGGCTCTGTGCTGACGGCTCGGAGCCTGGAGCTGCTTCAGATTCTGTGTCTCCCTCTCTCTCTGCACACCCCCCCCCCCCCCCCGCTCATGCTCTGTCTTGCTCTCTCTCTTTCTCTCTCAAAAATAAATATTAAAACCTAAAACCACTAAAGTGAGCTCAGCTGTTATGCCCCAATCAGAATACCTAAAACTAAAAGTAGTGATAACACCATACACTGGTGAAGATGTGGAGAAACACTTGCTCATGTGTTAATGGTGGGAATGTCAAATGACGTAGCCACTCTGGAAAAGACTTTGGTAGTTTCTTTTAAGACTAAAATTGACACGTGGCACCCAGGTGGCTCAGTGGGTTGAGTGTCTGACTCTTGATTTCAGCTCAGGTCACGATCCCAGGGTTATGGGATCAAGCTCAGCACAGAGCCTGCTTGCAATTCTCTCTCTCTCTCTCTCTCTCTCTCCCCCCCCCTCACCCTCTGGCCCTCCCCCTCTCATGCTTGCTCTCTCACTCTGTCTCTCAAAATATTAATAATAATAATAACATACCATATATGATGGTTAGTTAATTTTATGTGTCAACTCGGCTGGAGTATGGTGCCCACTCATTCAGTCAAACACCTATCTAGATGTGGCTGTGAAGGTAAGTATTAGATGTGTTTAGGATTTACATAAAGCAGATCATCCTCCATAATGTGGGTGGGCCACGTGTTATCAGTTGAAGGCCTTCAGAGGAAAGGGTAAGACCCCCCAAAGAGGAAAAGATTCTGCCTGTAGATGCTCTTTGGACTCAACTCAAGGCTGCGACACTGACCCCCACCCCAGCCCGCAGCCTGCTGACCTGCCCTGCAGACTTCCGACTTGCCAGCTGCCACAATTGCATGAGCCAGTTCTTCAAAATAAATCTTTCCCTCTCCTTCACCATATATACATGTAGCCCATATGAAGCACCCTAATACACCACGCAAGCCAGCAGCTGCATTCTTGGGCATTTATCCCAGAAAAGTGAAGACATTTTCATGCGGGGACACGTGTTCCCAGCAGCTTTACTGGTAATAGCCCCCAACTAGAACCACACAAATGTCTTTCTCTGGGCGGTTGACTGAACAAACTACGTTCATCCACACCGTGGAATACGATTCAGCCATCGAAGGAAGGAGCTGTTGCTACGCTCTACAATGTGAGTGAATGTCAAGGAAGTTGCTGAGCGGTAAAAGCCAATCTCAGAAGGAGACCTTATGCACGATGTGAAGTAAGGAAGCTACAGAGGCTGAGATCTCGTGTGGACGTGGCCAGAGAGGGGGTGTGAGGGACTCGTGGGAAGGCTCAGCTGAGTTTCTTGGCTAAGGTGGCTACACGTGGCTGCGTGAGCAATGGCTGCAGAGAGCCACACAGACGCACACGCACGAGAGTTAGCGCGGGTAAAACTAGGGAAACGCAGGGGCGGCTGTGGGCTCAGTCGGCTAACTGTCCCGTTTCAGCTCAGGTCATGCTCTCACGGTTCAAGCCCAGAGCCCGATGCGGGGCGCGAACCCATGAACCACGAGATCGTGACCTGAGCTGAAGTCAGACGCTCAACCGACTGAGCCACCCAGGCACCCCTAAAAACTTCTTTTTTAAAAAATATTTTTTATTTATTTCTGAGGGAGACGGAGACAGCATGAACAGGGGAGGGTCAGAGAGAAAGGGAGACACAGAATCTGAAACAGGCTCCAGGCTCTGAGCTGTCAGCACAGAGCCCGACGCGGGGCTTGAACCCAGGAAGTGTGAGATCATGACCTGAGCCGAAGTCGGCGCTTAACCAACTGAGCCACCCAGGCGCCCCCTAAAAACTTTTTTAAGAGCACCAAAACCAGAAACAGATGAGCTCTTCAGACTGCACCAAATCAATTTCTTGGTGTTGCTACTGCGTCGTTGTAGAAATTATTAGCGTCTGGGGAAAACGCACAGAGGCTGTCTGTGTCCATTTCCACACACATTTGGACTAAAGTCTATTAACTCAAGATATAAATGTATATATGTCAAGACTCGTGAGAACAGTAAGGAAAAACGGATAACCCTACCATCACAGTTGGAAATGTTAACATATATCCTTAATCATTGATAGGCTGCAGGAGATTTGAACATTACTAATAATTTGATGTCTTGGATAGAATTAGGTCAACACACTTACTACCTGGAGAACACACATTCTCTTCAGGCACACGTGGAACAGGTGTAACTATTCATGACCATATACTGGGCCAAAAAGCCAGTGCGACAAATGTAAGAACATGGTCGGAGATGGATCTCACACAGGCGACATGCTCTAACCGGGACGCAGGGAAGTTCCAAGTCAACACCAAAAAGGGAACCAGAAAAAGTCCAGGCCTCTGGATATTAAAATACACACACCTAGGGGCGCCTGGGGGGCTCAGTCGGTTAAGCGTCCGACTTCAGCTCAGGTCATGATCTCGCGGTTCGTGGGTTCGAGCCCCGTGTCGGGCTCTGTGCTGACAGCTCAGAGCC